AGCCAGCTACAAACATGGTGCCAAGGGGTTCTCTTGTGCATCAGAGCCAAAGCACAGAAATGTGTCACTCAAAGAAAAAACCAATGTGGCCTGGCTTCCTAGGAATTGGTTTACATAAAAAAAACACAACGTAGAGATAAACAATGATAAAAAAGTGGTGTGAAAAACACAAGTCGAAGGAGGTAGCAAATAAGAGAATTGATAAAGACACTCCAGTAATGGGAAAAAATAGTTACACTCTTAAAAGATCTAATTACCTGGCTGATTTCCATAAGGTGAGAAATCTTGCTAAGTTAATTCAGAAACTATAAATCAATTACAACTCACCCAAAATGCTGCTCTGGGAACTCATAGGATAATGTTCAGCAGTGATGTCATCACAGGCTATTGTGATCATTGTGGAAGGGTTGATTAAAATGTAAAAAGATGGACCAAATGAATTATAGTAACAATGGGAGTTGAGAGCCAGGAACTGAGGGATATTGAGTCCTTCCAAGAAACTTGAGTCATAGAATGGAGGAGCCAATGGCTAACCCCAGCTGAAACTCACCTTTTGGCAATGCAACAATTAATCTTAAGAGTAGACAGAGAGCCCCAACATTCGGACACTTTCTTCAGCATCAAATAAACCTTGCTTGAGACGGACATTTGTAGAAGCAAACACAGAATTTTATGAGGACTGAGTAATTAATGTCTTTATTTCAGTACATTTATATATCATTGAGTTGAAGCCTCTGGAAAGAAAACACAACGATTTAGCCTATTTTGTTTCAGAAGCAAACTCACTTTGGATTATAGTGCTGAGATCTGGTCTGGGCTTATTATTCATACTTTTAGTACCAGTAGTCAAAGGGCAGATGCTATTTGGATAAAGAAATGATGACTGCTGAGGGTTCTGCTACCTAGCAGCATCCATATACTGGCTACCAAAATATAAAAGCGTCATCTGGGAAGTCATACAGCAGAAGGGAATAGCACACACTAGCTGTAGATCAACTGTCTAGGATTTTTAAATGTTTTATTTGTGAAGTTTTCTCCTCTAAGAAGCAGAAGCCCAATCTTCCTGTTATTTTCTGAATAAAAAATGAAATAGTTTGCATTCCTTGAACCCAGACAAACCGATGGTGAAATGTGATGGTTGTCAAAAGCATAATTAGTGTCAGAAGAAAATAAATCGACCAGTGAATTTTAAATTTGATCTCCCCCCAAAAAATCACAAAAATAATTTTCACATCAAAGTTGATTTATTTTACCAATTATAATAAAGATATTTGAAGTCCAAACATTTATTTTTCCTTTAAATTATTAAAAATTAAAAAGCAATAATAAATCATCTGTCAGAAAGTTAGAAGACTCAAATAGCCAAATTAATCTTGAAAAGAAGAACAAAGTTAAAGGTCTCATACTTCCTAATTTCAAAACTTACAACAAAGCTACAATAATCAAAATAGCATGGGATTGGCATAAAGACAGACAGATAGACTACTAGAATAGAATAGAGTGCAAAAATAAACTCTCACATATATGGTCAAATGATTTTCCACAAGGATGCTAAGACCGTTCAATGGAGACAGGGCAGTCATTTTAACAAAGAGTGTGGGGAAAACTGGATATTCACATACCAAAAAATTAGTAGACACTTACCAAACACCATGTACAAAAATTAGTTAGACATTTCATCTAATACCATATAAAAAATTAACTCCAAATAAATCAAAGTACTAAATGTGAAACCTAAGACTTTTAGAAGAAAACATATCTTGAGTACATTGGATTTGGCAATCGTTTCTTGGATATGACACCAAAAGCACAGGAAACAAATGAAAATATAGATAAGTTGAACTTCATAAAAATTAAAAATATCTGTGCTCCACAGGACACAAGAAATGGAAAGGAGTTAAAAAGCAATCTATGGAACAAGAGGAGATATTTGCAAATCATATCTGATAAGAGATTAATATCCAAAAAGAATTCCTACAACTCAACAACAAGAACAGAATAACCTGATTTAAAAAATGAGTAAAGACTTGATCTCTAAAGATTTACTGATGATCAATAAGCACATGAAAAGATGCTCAACATCACTAGTTACCGTGTTTCCCCAAAAATAAGACCTACCCATAAAATAAGCCCTAGCAGGATTTCTAAGCATTTGCCCAAATAAGCCCTACCCCAAATATAAGACCTAGTGGTGGGCGTGGCTACGCAGCGTATCCGCATAACCTATGCATTTCGTAGCAGAGCGGTAAAGAAGATGAGCAGCCCTTCTCATCTGCCCCATGAGAGCTCTGCTGCTTGACATGAGAGATTGGGGCCAATGGTTCTAAAAGAAATAGAGTCGCAAGAAATTCAGGATGGAATTCGGGGTTTGGAGAGTTAAGATGATGTTCCAGAAGAAGATGACTTAACTATATTTGAATAAATGTAGATTGTTGTACCTTACTTAAAAAAAATAACACATCCCCTGAAAATAAGCCCTAGGTTGTCTTCTTGAGGAAAAATAAATATAAGACCTTATCTTATTTTCAGGGAAACATGGTATTAGGGAAATGCAAATCAAAACCACGAAGAGATATCACTTTACACTATTGGGATGGCTATATTTTTAAAAAGAAAGAAAATAATAAGTGATAGTGGAAAAATTGGAACCCTTATGCATTGCTTGTGGGAATGTAAAATGTTATAGCTGCTGTGGAAAACTATGGTGATTCCTCAAAAAATTAAACACCGAATAACCATATGATCCAGAAATTCCACTTCCAGGTATATACCCCAAAGAAGTAAAGGCAGAGACTCACACAGATATTTGTATACCCATGTTTATAACAGCTTTATTCACAATAGCCAAAAGGTGGAAGCAACCCAAGTATTCATCAATGGCTGAATGGATAAACAAAATGTGGTATGTACATACACTAGAATATTATTCAGTCTTAAGATGAAAATGTTAACACATGCTACAACATGGTTGAATCTTGAAGACCTGATGCTAAATGAAATAAGCTGGTCGCAAAAGGACAAAAATTGTATGATGCCACCTTTATGAGGTTCCTAACATAGTCAATTCATAGAGACAAAAAGTAGAATGGTGGTTGCCAGAGGCTGGAAGGAAAGGAGGAATGGGGAGTTATTGTTTAATGGGGACAGAGTTTCAGTTTGGGAAGATGAAAAAGTTCTAGAGATGGATGGTGGTGATGGTCACACAACAATGTGAATATACTTAATGACATAGAACTATACACTAAAAATGGTTAAACTGGAAATTTTATGTATATTTTACCACAATAAAAAAATTAGGAACAAGAGAGAAATAATGAATGAATGAGTTATAAAAAAATAGAAATTAAATGTCCAGTAATAGGAAAACAGGAATGATTAAATAAATTATGATTACCCACTCGATGGAGTCTTTGTGTCACCAATAACACTTATGGTGGCAACATGGAAAATACCTACAATATTATTAAGAGAAGGGCAAGGTTGTTATGTGCTATGATTGTAACTATAAATAAATCTGGTTCCAGAAAAAAACTAAAAGGAAATATCAAAATGCTTTAAAATTTTACAAAATTTTACATTAGAATGATGAGATCATTTCCTTTTTTAAAAAATCTATTTGCCAATTGTTTTGGAAAGTGGATGAAGTGCTCTTTAATGAAAAATAAATTTATAATAAAAAATGAAAAAGAACAAGGAAAAGTTTTTAAAATAATTCTTAAAATCCCCTTTAGTTTTAGTTTTGTATATAAATCTCAAAACACTGGATACTTTTGAGGCTTTGGCAAGGTAGTATAAATATTAAGAATATAAGTAATTAAGGTTTCTGGAAAACCCTTCTTCAATTCTGTGCTTCAAAAATCATTCAAAGCTGGATGCAGGAGGCTAAGGCAAGAGGATTTCTTGAGCCCACCGATTAGCGACCAGCTTGGGCAACATGGCAAGACCTCATCTCTGGGAAAAAAGAAAAAAACAAAACTCAAGATTTGGGTCACTGAGCAGAGGACACAGAAGAAGAACATCTCTGAAGAAAGAAACTTTTCAAGAAATGTCATGTGTTTATCACTCAGCAAAGACAACTTCCCAGAGGCGGAAAGTGCAGGCTAGGAGAGATGCCTATCTAGGTTAAAGCAGATTCACAGCTTGGCAAATACAGCAGCCTTTTCTACTGCTCTCCCAAATGAGGCAGTGATTCTAATGGGTTATTCTTTTTTATTTTTATAGATTTAGGAAGCACAAGTGCAGTTTTGTACATAGATAGTATGCATAGTTGTGAGGACTGGGTTTATAGTGTAACCATCACCCAGATAGTGTGCATTGTACACATTAAGTCATTGTTCATCCCTCACCCCCTCCTACCCTTTCAAGTCTCCAACGCCTGTTATTCTACCCTATGTCTTGGGGGGACACATAAGTGAGTTATTCATGAAACTTAATTCTGCATCCACCTTCTTTCTCCAGCTTACTGGTATTATCTTGTGGTCTCTCCCAAGCTCCCCCTTGGCTCTCCAGCTACCCCACCCAGCCACTCAAGTAAAGAGAAGCAGAATGGACACCCCTGAGGCCATGGGGAGGGGCAGGAACTGAGTCTAGATGGTGACATCCGCTCCTTAGAAGAGTCAGGCAGAGGGTGTGAGAAGGTGGGTGGCAGTGTCATAAAGCAGAGTGGCAAGCACACACTGGGGAGCTCACATAGAGTCCGCTTCCCAGAACAGGGCAGCGGGAACTCTAGGAGGTGCACCTTGATACACCAAGGTCACCAGGTCCTCAGGGTTCCAACATCTGTCCTTTCTGATGGGTCCTGTTGTTACCAATTTCTTTTAAGAGCCTCTTCCAATCTGTCTTCTAGAGCCATTGTCCACAGCAGACTTTGCCACAGAATATTCTCATAAACCTAGTTCCATTCTGTTGGATTCTGGTTTGAAGAAGCTTTCCAAAGCCCCAGTTTACTTCTCTTCCACCCTCTGCCATTTTGGACCATTCGGTTCTCTCCTCAATTCTAGGTGGTTCGAGATCAGATCTCTCACTGCACCGTGAAACTGCGCCAGACCACAGGTCTCATGGAGTACTGCTTGGAGGTGATTAAGGAAAATGATCCTAGTGGCTTTTTGCAGGTAAGTGTTAACCGGTTTCTGCTTCAGATTCTGAATGTCCTATGGGAGTGAGCATAGGACGCTTAGGCCAGGCTTGGGTCCCTCGGTAACAGAACCCACTTCCCACTGCAATGTGTGTGAGGCCGCCTGCTGAGTAAACTCCACTGACTTCCTGGAGGTGTCTGCCACCGTGTACTGCAAGACTGAGAAGTGTGTGAGCTTTTTTTGGTTTGTTTTTGTGTTTAATCATGAAAACATAATTTCCTGAAAGTTTTTCCAAAGTGGAGTTATTGCCTTGCCTAAGAATGGTCCTTATCCATTAATATCTCTTTGACAGTTTTGTCAGCTGGAAATATCTAAGTGTCAAAGTTTCTACCTTGACACCTCCTACTGGCCAGTAAGTCAGTGATTTCTCAAATGCAGTGAAGTGTTTTTTACATTCTTCCATCTTAATTGTTTTAGTGAAATGCTGTGATATAAGCTGGATGTTACTGAGGTTTTGATCTCAATGATAAGGAACCTTTGTTAAGGAACACGTAGACCTCTTCCAACTTACATTCTACTAAACTGGGCAAGAATGACAGAGGGAGATTGAATATAAGAAATGAAACCGGGCATGGTGTCTCACACCTGTAATCCTAGCATTTTTGAGAGGTGGAGGCAAGAAGATTACTTGAGGCCAGGAGTTGGAGACCAGACTGAGCAACATAGTAAGACCCTGTCTCTACAAAAAATAGAAAAATTAGCCAGGTATGGTGGTGTATGTCTGTAGTTCCAGCTGCTAGGAAGGCTGAGACAGGAGAATCACTTGAACACTGCACTCTAGCCCAAGCAACAGAGTGAGACTTTGTCTCAAAAAAAGAAAAAAAAGTAAGAAAGAAATGAAAGACCTCTCTACCAAAGAATATAGCTATAGTCACATGAAGATGATGTGCTTAAAATCTAAGAAATTTCATATGTGACCTCTCTAAACTATTTTATAAAACTCATTTCCAAGTCTTGATAGGATACCCACACTCAAATTAGAAGCTTAGAGACATTGGTTCTAATAAGAATTAACTAATTTCCAATATATCATTCTTTAAAGTTGTTAGCTTTTAGTGGATCAGTCATAAATGCATGATTATATATCCAGGTTTGTCTATTAGATCAATTAATACCTGCTAATTGTTTATAGTACCCTCTTCCAACTCTCAAAAGTGTTCAGATTTTCTGGATAAATCATGGGTCACTCTAGTCATAAAGGGGTCCCCCTCACCAATGGCACTAAGACAGGGTGTGAGTCCCAAGGTGGTTTTGGGGTAACACTCCCAGAAAGCTGGGGAGCAGTGTGGTGTTGTATTTCTCAGGCTGTGGTCTTTGATGTGATTAGATTTCTGACGCCCTCATAAGGAGAGTGCACCTGACCGAGGATCAGTGGGGGAAAGGCACACTCACGCCGAGGATGACCACGGACTTTGATTTGAGCCTGGATAACAGCCCTCTGCTGCAATCCATTCACCAGCTCGACTTTGTGCAGGTGAAAGGTACGTGCTCATGTCCCCTGAGTCAAAAAGCAACATCCCAAGTGGATACTGGTGTTTGAAGCAGGATGGGTACCTCTCTGGCTAATGTTGCAAAAATCTGGAGTGGCTCCTATCTTGGCATATAAAGAAAACATCTCCTTGTAGCTGTATGACCTACCTTTCACCAAGTCAGATAAATTCAGATAAATGCAATGCTTGCTTCTTTGAGAGACAGAGATTTCACATGCTCAGCACCAGAAAATAGCTGGTGTAAAAAGAGGTAGGAAGAGAGAGAAGATCACTGTACATAAATAAAATCTTGGTACAGAAAGTAACCCAGAAATATTGATGTAACTCAAGGGACTCCAGAATTGGAATGACTGCTTCCACATGGGTAGAGATAGTGAGCAAATGGTTAGAGCATGCATCAGTGGGAATTTGAGAGAATCACAGCCAGCCTGCCAATAATGGTGAGAGAATGAGAGCCTGGAAGGAAAATGAAAATTTGAAATAATTTTTAAAATGGGTTTCTATGATTATGGGTTATAGCAAGGTCTCTTTGAGACTTTTGGGGGGCCGAGGGGAAATATAAGGACTTGAAGTATTTTAGGCAAAATAACTCTTTCAAAAGAAAATAACAACTCAAGCCAACCATGCAACAAAATTTTTATGGCAGTGTAAGTAATATCCATTTGAAGAATATTTCTTTTAACTTTTTGTTTTGAAATATAGATTCACAGGAAGTTGAAAAAATAGTAAGGAAAGGTCCTGGCTACCAAGAAGTTGTTATTGGTACAGTTGTATGAGTAGTTCTATGCCATTTTATCACGTGTCTGCCACTGCAATCAGGATACAGATCTATTCCTTCAACACGAACATCTCCCTAGACAGTCATACCCCTCCCCTCCACCACCTTGAATCTCTGAAAACCACTAATCTGTTCTCTATCTCTCTTATTTTGTCATTTTCTGATCTTTTTTAAAAACCAAAAAAATTGATTATTTGTTCTTCACAACTCCCAATGTAAGCATCCACGCAATAAATGACTCTTAGCATTCAGTGCTTTAGACATTTCATTTCTTAAGAAAAATCTACCTTCTTCCTTTTTAGAGACAAAGAGAATCATATAAGCCAGCAAGTTTAGGGCTATCCACTGAACCTCACATAGTGCAGATAAATTCATCCCTGTACTCGGTACATATACTTCTCTCATCCTTTTAATGGATTTTTGTTCTTTCATTTTCAATTTTTTCTCTTTTTTTTGATTAATATGTATTACTTTGGGAAGATGCCTTAATCAATTTTTGAAACAATATATATATTATAAATAAATATGCTTTGTTACAGTAACAAAAATGTTTAGTATTTATTGAGCTTAATTAGCATTTAGCTAACTGCACTAGACATTCTCCCAAGTGTTCTACATGTATTAACTCATTTTGTTCTCACAGCCCTAGTAGTTAGCTGAAGAAACTGGGGCACAGGAAGACTGGGTTTCTTGCCTGAGCTCACACAGCTAGTGAGTGGCGGTACCAAGATTTGAATCCCTAGATTTGAATCCACTCCTGCAGAACCCACTCCTACAACTTGCAGTTTATGCTGTAAAGCTAGTGCCATTTCTAAGCAGCTTCTTCAAGGAATAATGGAATTCCTCTCTAAAACTTAATAACTCTAATTTTTTGTTGCAGGAATTTTTTCTTGCTATTTAAAATTTTTTCTTTAATACCAACATGGTAGCCTCTAAAGTAAACCCATCCCTAGTAAAATAGAGAGCCCTGGATACATTTAAATTCCCCTCAATCAGCCTCTCTCTGTCCCCAATTCTTTCAATGAGATAAAATCACTGAAAGGTATGTTACATGTAGCTTGGAGGGAAAAATATGTCACAAAAGAGGAATATAAAGGCTTTTGGTAAAAGAGGAAAAAATGCACCAACCCAATTAGCCTCAGTGAGGGAGCAGGAGGAGGGGCAGTTAGAGGGCAAAAGCCTCAGGGCTTTCAAACACTTTAATCAGCTGTCAACACCCCCATTTGCTGCCCTTCTGAGTCAAGTCCATCTGCCCACGGTGGAAGCCAAGCCAGTTGGCAGGAGGTTAGAGATCGTGTTGGAGTGAACAGGCCCTTCCTTGGGTATGGGAACTGCAGGTTCACGTGCTCTGCATCACAGACCGCATTTCTAAAGCACTGTCACTTGGCCACTTAGGACTGCACACAAACGTCAGAGTGGACAGGGATGTTTGTCCAGCCCATTCAAGTCTGCACACACAGCAGAGAATGCCAAGTACTCTGAAGGCCAAAATGCGGAACACTCACACAGCCAAAGTTCACCTGGAGCCACACAAAAACCAGATGATTATTGATGAAGTTAATATAACAAACAGGCCATTTGCTATGACACTGGATTATAGTATTCCATTTTCCTTTTCTTTTTAACACTTTGTCTTAATTTAATTTACTTCTGATTATTATCACTCTGCCTAGTTCATTTATATGCTTTGCTTTGTGCTCTTTGAATTTAATTAATTCAATGAGAGCCCAGTTCTTTTTAGAATCTGAATAAGTTTTGTCAAATGCTTGTGATGGAAAGAAAAAGACAGAGGTCACGACATAATAGAGCTTGATTTGTTGTAGTTGAGACTTCTACTGGTCTCTGTAAAATCTGTTAACATATCCACACCTGTTACTGATGTAGTGTGAATCTTTTCATTTCTTCAAGATCTTCTTAATAAACTGCACTTTCACAACTTGTCAGTAAAAATATCTGAAGAAACTGCCCCTGAAAATCGACATGCAAATGGCCACAATTAAGTAGCATTTGAAGTGGTGTTAAAGTAATTCAGACATTGTGAAACTAACAATACGTGTAATTCAGTATGTGTTTTCTAATTGTGCCAACTGGATTACAGTATAAAGTTAAAATACTGTCAAAATCTGCATTTAAAATTATTACTCAAAATGATAACTAAAATATCTCTTTACTTTTTGACTCAGAATTTTAGCAAGCATCGCTCTGGTTTTGAACTCTCATTGCAGATGCCTTTATTGTTATTGTTGATCCCAGAGAAGGTAGATCTGATATCGGTTTCTACACATTTCCAGTCAGGCCAGCTACTGTTTAGCAAGAATGTACTGCCCAAAGTTATTCTCTTATTAGCTAAGGATTTAGCTGGTCTGTTCTTTCTGATTCCATATTATTCCCAAATGACTAAGATCTATATGGAGAACACTGATATTTTCTTCATTAAAATATTCCCAAATTGTAATGACATGTTTTCTGGTTGTATTCTGATTAGAAAACCATCTCACCCTCTTTCCAACTATTGGGGTTTGATCTTTCAGACTTTTATAGAAAACATCATATTACGTTTTGTCTTTTATTTTTATTAGAGAGTGATAAACACATTTTTTTCTTAATTTTAAGTTGTTATCCTCAACTCTTTCCCAGGTCATGGGAAGGAAATTTTTTAAGAGTCTTTTCCTAGTCTGCCAAGGGTTAAAAATAGATTTCAGATACCTATATCCTCGCAAAAAAATACTACCCCAAAATTGTCTAAGTACACAAAGTATCCCAAGATTCTTAAGTTATGGTGCTGAAATGAAATGCCAGTGTTTTCATTCTGAATCAGGACAAAACAGCAAACTAACTCCTACCAAGCCTTTTTAGCACATAGACCATTGGCTGTTAATCCCAGTAAGTGCTTCTACTCTCCAAAGGATGCTTTTTTTTTTTTAAGACACAGAGTCTAGCTCTGTCACCCAGGCTGGAGCGCAGTGGCATGATCATAGCTCACTGCAGCCTTGAATTCCTAGGTTCAAGTGATCCCTGCAGTCTGAGCACCCAAGTAGCTAGCACTGCAGGCATGAGCCATAGCGCCCAGCCACACTTATCTCTAATGACTCATGTTGAATGTAAGAGCTCTGAGTATGCACCAAGGTCACAGGGCAGGGACAGTGTGATCTGAACAGACTCTCCTATAAATTATAGGGAAAAGCTGCCAGAGGGTTGGCAGGGATGGAATAAACATACACACTTGCCACATAATCTATTCATCCTTGATAGTTTGGGGGCCTGAAATTCATGTCCTCACATGCATTCACACATATCCATAAAACTATACTAGTGACAGCTTTCTAGAAATGGCTTACAGTTCCACTAAAGTCTGAACTTTCCTCAAATGCCATTTGTATTGTTTAGCCACCATAAAGAGGAATGACAGTCTACAAATGAGCCTTCAGAGAAGATGACTCAGTAAAATTGCATTCCCAACCACCATAGCACTGAAGGTGAAATATTTCATTAATACCTACCAGCAATTCTTGGGAATCTCTATTGTTCACATTGTAAGAAACTTTGAGAATGAAACATGAAGACATTCCTCTGGTGTACTGTCACTAAACATTGGACTAGAGAGGCAGAAGAATGCAAGACGAAAGCCCCTTGAGCCTGAGCCAGGCTGTTTGGTTTCAGATCCCAGCTCTGCCACTTACTAGCCATGAAAGCTTTCTATGTTTCAGTTTCCTCATCTGCAAATTAGAGACAATAACAGTACCTTCCTTGTGGGGTTGTGGTTGTGCAAATTAAATGAGTTAATCCACATAAACCTCTCACCACACTGTCTAGCATTTAGTAAGCGTTCCAAAAGCATCACTTAGGATTTGTGTTCCCTGAGGTTGGGAGCCCAGCTTTCTTTCCTGCCTGTCCTCACCTCACTTCCCTGTACTTGCACAGAGGAATTCTGGATGTTTGTGAGTGTTCCCCACCTGAAACATTACAACAAAAAAATTAAACACATAAGGAAAATGTGAGATAGAATTTGGAATAGAGTGACCTTAAAAATGGAAGACATTTGGAAATGTTGGTGTAAGAAGCCGCTGTTGCAAAATTAAATTTTGAAACACAGCTCCACCAGCCTTCTTCAAGGAAGTCAATAAGAACAGCTGACTGCTTATATCTAAAAGAATTCTCAGCATCAAGCTTGATTTACAGGCTAAAACAATGCTACATGCTAGAATTCTGATTGGGTCAAGTAAAACTAGTTCTTAAGGAAACATCAAAAGATGTCCCAGCATGATCATGAAAGTGTAAAGATCCAATAGCTGTGGCAGCCCCAAGGACAGTAGTTTCAATAAAATAAAATGCTCTTTCTTAGACTTCAGCCCAGGAACTATAATGCTTTCCATTTCCAAATCATAAAAGGTAGATTAATTTGAAAGTACTTTAGATTTCTAGTAGATCATTTATTCTATACCTAATAAAGTAAGTTAGTATAACATAACACACCCACTATAAAAATCTATTTTTTAAAATGTCAGCCTGAATCTCTGCTAATGAGGAAAGTCTCTGCTAATGCTATAATTTTGTCACATTTACTTTTTATATGCAACATCATTTTGGGGTAAATGAGAAGAAAGAAAAAATAATTCTCAGAACATTGAGGAATAAATGTAGACACATGCAGATATCTCTGGGTTAGTTCTTGCTTTCTTTCTCTGCCCACCCTCCTTGTTTTTTCGTTCATTTGCTTGTTGGTTTAAATCTGGGACAATATTAAGATCTGAAGATTATTGAGAAGTTAGACTCTTTTTTTTTATCCTTTTGGTCTTTTAAAGTATATCCACTAAGGACTCATAAATGAAGTTGTAATGTTTTAATTACACATGACATCATGTATTTCAGTTAATCTTTTAATTATACCTGTCTCTACACAGGGAAATTTGACTTTCTTATCAGAGACATTGTGAGCATTTGTATAATTTAATTTGAAGCCATCTTGTGATCTTATTGTTTGATTTTGTAATTGATTAAATGTAGACTTGCCTGAAGCATGAGCAAAGGGAAAAAGACTATTGTGGAGCTAATGAAATAAGAGAGTCCAAAGAATTATTTTAATGGGAGGCTCTAGCTAATAAGGACAGTTAAGAACAGATATCTTAGGAGTATCATTCATGTTTCTAGAAGCCCTTTGAAGAATGGTTTGCCTAAACTTGCCATATTTTGCTTCCATGGTAAGTGTTAAAAATGTATTATTTTTATCAAGAAAATAAATTTGAAACAACAGAGTAAGTCTCTAATACTTAAAATGACTTAAGTTAACCCTCCAGTTACAACTCCAGGGTGATGCCTGTTCATGTGCAGATGCTCATGAGAATCAGGAGGAGTGATGTCTTCTGTCTCCTCTTTCTGTCCAAACCTGTAGTTTATTTATTGAACAAGGCTATGAATTTATCTTCCTTCCTCCAAATCCAGATGTTTTGGAAACGCTGAGGCTGCAGTAGCCATTGTTCTCCAAGATTCTTTCCAAATCCTGTATCAGTGAAACTTAAAACATGATTTCCCTTCTTAAACTGATCACCTCCAATTAACTAGTCAGGAATTTTGATTCAATTATATTTGATTTCATAGCTCAGACATGGTTTTATTGTAATGTCTCACAGTCTTTACTTAAGTATGAGAGGATTGACCTATTTCACCTTCATAGCTCTTACACTGTAATCACTGCTTTTATTTTCTAGGTTATCCACCATAGAACTAGTTTCCCAAACTGCTGTTAAATTAAACCTCTTCCTGTTTGAGGTGACTGAAAAGGAGCAGATTTAATTCAGTGCATGAGACACAGAGTCCAATTTTGGTACAACACACCAGGTGTTCCACAGTTAACATTTGTTCATCTAAATGTCCCTGGATGTGGTCCAAGCTGTTCTCTCCTGTTATTGAAGTGCAATAATAATAATAATAATAAATCAGTGTTTTGGTGCTAAAATAAAATTTTAAACAGTTGTTAAAAACATCATTCCCAGCTATATATATTGAGCTTGTATGTTAGGAACTGGGATTATTCTATGTCTGTGTGTCTGAAGTCTCAACTAATTTGCAATTGTAAGTAACACAAAAAAGTTTTAGTATAAAATGTGGGTAGGGGGTATTGGGACTGGTAACACCACAAAAGATTCTCACAGGGCCATGAGCACACTTTCAGCCTCTCTGTCCCAGCCCAGCCTGCCCCCCATACATTCCCAGGCTCTGAGCCTGGTGTTCTGGAGGAAGAGCACACTTGGCCTCCTGCTGTTTTTGAGGTGCAACTGCCTTGGGAGAATGATGTCAGGTTCCTCAGAAGTTTTGAAAGTGAGAGAACACTTTGTGTCACTTGTTACCAAATTTTCAACAAATGCACTGCTATAGCTACTTATGTGTACAAGATGTAGAGTAGAATCACTGGTTTAAAAAAATAATAGAATATTAGAAATATAGTGGTTTCAGAGCTATATCTTAGAATATAAACTGGGTTTTAAATCTCAGAATAAATGTTATGATAAAATTATTAGCACAGCTTGGCCATGTTATGAGTTAAATAGGCTTTAGTGGGCTGGACAAACATTTCCCTTAGGGATGATGTCTCCTATCTTCAGGGAGGTGAGAACAGAGCAGTTCTGTGAATGTGCCTGTCTCCCCTTCACTGCCACGATTAATGTGGGAAGTGCCATTGTGAGCTTAGAAAAAGGCATCACAGCAGTTCAGGAGCCAGTCCCACTCCAGTTCAGGTCCCCCGTGCACCCCAGGCTGGCTACTTCCAACCACGTGTTTGTCAGAGGCATGTTTGTCATTCAAAGTCAAGGAAATATTTGCAACTCAACAGAAACCAGGGTTACACTAATTTCTGTTTAGCTTCCTCTCCAGTCCCAGCAACTCCCATCCTACAGCTGGAGGAATGTTGCACCCACAACAACAGTGCTACACTGTCCTGGAAACAGCCACCTCTGTCCACGGTGCCCGCGGAAGGATACATTCTGGAGCTGGATGACGGCAATGGTGGTCAGTTCCGGGTCAGTAGAGAACCTCCTGCTTGTTACCCAAAACCAAAATGCATCCCTCAAAGGCCCTGCCAGCGAGGCTCAGGCCTGGCTTCCTATCCTCCTAAGGACAGGCCATCCTGGCAGGGCCTGCCTGCCCTTCCCCTGAGGCCTGCTTTCTCCCCGTACCATCAAAGAGGGATGGAGGAGTCTCCAAAACTGTCCTGTCCTTTTAAAGAGACAGTACATGCAGTGCTGCAGGTTCTGGAGGCAGACTGCCTGCATTCAATCTGGTCTCCTCCACGGAGCTGTGTGACTGTGCCTATGTCTCACCTCTTTGAGCCTTCAGGTCCTCATTTATAAAAGTGTGGGATGACAACATTAGCATGTATCATGCCTTATTGCTAAGAATCCATTAGATAATCTGTATAAAATTCTTAGCATGTTGCCTAGAACATAGTAAGTCTGCACTATAGCAATATTATTATTACCATTGTTATTTATTGCTAATAATATAATTAACCATTGTCTAAGATTTATTTCTGCAACCTGCAACCCACAGCTTCTAATGTCTTTAATTGGCATTTCTCTTAATCAGCATGCTCCCCTATTGTAGCTTCCCTATTCTAAGAAGAGTTTCTAGCAAACATTTCCCCAGTTCTATGGTTTTTATCTGGGTTTTTCATCCAATAGAACTGGTGCCAGCAGATTATTAGCTCCTCAAAGCAAAGGAGCCCTAACCCCATTGAGAAGTTCACAGTCCTCTCTAAAAGTAGGCCAGCCTAACCTTTTGGTAAGACATGGCCATGGTGCCTAGAAGTTGGTGATCTGCGTGTGACCGCTTCTGTCTCACACACACACAGCCCCATTCTCATCTAGCTTCTCCCCTACCCAGTCTTGACTGGGAGCTCTGATGCCTGGAACCTTCTGGGTACTGAGGCCAATCCCTTCACTGATGAAGATGGAGCCTCCTGTCTACAAAGAACCCCAGGTCCCTGAAGATGAGGCTGCCTTCTGGCCATCAGTGGCCAAACCTGGGCCACCAGCTTTCAAGAGCAATGCCTGTCAAGGCTTCTTTTTCTTGAATGTGTTTTGTTTGTTTGTTTGTTTTTGTTTTGTTTTGTTTGAGACAGAGTCTCACTCTGTTGCCCAGGCTAGAGTGCCATGGTGTCAGCCTAGCTCACAGCAACCTCAAACTCCTGGGCTTAAGCAATCCGTCTGCCTCAGCCTCCCGAGTAGCTGGGACTACAGGCATGCACCACCATGCCCAGCTAATTTTTTCTATATATTTTAGTTGGCCAATTGATTTTCTTTCTATTTTTAGTAGAGACGGGGTCTCGCTCTTGCTCAGGCTGGTTTTGAACTCCTGACCTTGAGCGATCCGCCCACCTCGGCCTCCCAGAGTGCTAGGATTACAGGCGTGAGCCACCATTGAATGTGTTTTTGATCCTCCACTAGGTTTAAATACTTGAGAGCAAGGACCATGTCTTCTATAATTCTTAAGGATAAAGGTTCTCTCTTTTGATATAGAAGCCTTATTTATATATGTGTTGATATGCTGTCATGACAGATCCAAGTTTCTTCCTTTCTGAGATAAGGGTCTCAGGTTCCATTTCAATTCATGTCTTTTGCACTGTGTGTACTTATGTGGGTGTCTGTATTTGTGTGTAAAAAATCCTGTCTGTCAGTTTCCCATCTCTGACTTGCCTTTTCTGCAACCCACAGTTCTTGTTTTAGTACCTTTCTTTTCCCTTTGTTATTTTTTTCCCTGGGAAAGTAATTCTCATAGTTTCCCCGACTTCTTCCTCCCAGTTACTACCTGCCAACAGTGGCGAAGGTGCCTGGACATGGCCCCTTCTCTTCCCATTTTGAGGTCTTGATGCGTGCTGTCCCCCACCCCCTAGTCCATCCCTCACCTAGACTTCCCTCTGAGAGCCAGGCCCAGATTTCCACCTGTGGCCTAAACATTTCCACTTCTATCTCCTGAACATGAATCAAAACAAACCTGTCATTTTCTTTAAAAACTTAGTCTGTCTCTTCTGTACCCCAGTTGTCCTTGCTTAGATATCAGACTCCCAATCTTAGCACCATCTGGCACTGCCTTCCCCCTTGAACTCCAATAACATAAAGAAGGATCCCTTCTAGTCAACCCATGACTCTCCCATCTGGTTCTTTCTCTTATTCCACAGGCCACAAAGGTCCCAGCCCAAGGGGCCACTTGCACCTCTGTGCCTGCAGGTTTTTCTTGCCTTGCTACTCAAAGTATGGTCCCCCCAGCACCATTGGCTTCACCTGGGAAGTTGTTAAAAATGCAAAATCTCAGCTCCTACCCAGAAACCTGCTGGATCAGAAACTGCATTTTAACAAGATCTTCACATGATTCAAGTGCTCTTAAAGTTTGAGAAGTACTAAATGAGAGGGGATTTTTGTTACCACTGCAGTAGTGATGAACTGTTGGGCACAAGACCCCAGTCTTCTTAGTATCCCACTGGAGAGTTGTCATTTTAAGACTGAGCTTTAAATGCACATTATTTTTACTCATGACACCAGCATTTTGCAAAGTGTACAGCTAAAGAGGGAAGCAAATGCCTAACCTATGCTAAAGATGTGTTATGCCAGGATTTATTTTAAGTCTTTGAAATGTCATTTCTTCCCTCTTCCCCGTCCCTTCCCATCCCCTACTGTAATGAAAACCTATACTTCTATGGCTTTGAATTTGGTCTGTGCGACAGCTCCTGAAGTTATCAGTGAAGTTATAAATACAGCATAGAGACCACCCTCATTTTTTTTCAAACATTTTTTACAAACCACACTTGGTGTATAAAGAGCTCAGTAGGTATAAGATACTGGATAAAATGCCAAGTTAATATTAGTAAGCATAATCCTAACTATAAACACCCAGTTTTAACTTCTGAAGCCCTATCTGCTAATAACTACCATCCAGCAAGCTGCTGGGCCTGTGCTAAATACAAGGCACTATGCTAATCAATCTGTTCATGTAATCCTCACACCAACCTCAGAAGGTGGGCATTATTATCCCCATTTTACAGACTGGGAAACTGAGGCTAAAAAGGGTAAATTAAATGGCCCAGTATCTTGCAGGATTCAAATCCAGATCAGACTGGTGTCAAAGCTCTCGCTCCTAACCCCTCAGCCGTGCTGCCTCCCCGGCCCCTCACAGGGCTCCATGTTAAGTGATGTCCTCGTATTTGCTGCCCCTCAGGAAGTGTATGTGGGGAAGGAGACGATGTGCACCGTGGATGGTCTTCACTTCAACAGCACATACAACGCTCGGGTCAAGGCCTTCAACAAAACAGGAGTCAGCCCGTACAGCAAGACCCTGGTCCTCCAAACGTCCGAGGGTAAGGCCCTTCAGCAGTATCCCTCAGAGCGAGAACTGCGTGGCGTCTAAAATGCCTGGCAAGCTCGGAGGTAACCCCACCACTTCCCACATTCCTGAAGTCTTTCCATGACTTGCTCTGCATTCTGCATAGAGCCGCTCTTCCTCTCCGGCCTTTAGAGAGCCTGTGGTATGTGGATGTGAGCAAACCAAAGATTCCACATCGGCAGTTCAAATGGCTCAGGCCGTCGGCTTCCTTTGATAACGCTCTAAATAAGCTGCAGTTGAAGAAGCTGAAAAATGAAGGCCTGAATGTGCCCCGGTGTGTAAGACGAATGTGTCTAGGCTGTAGAACAGGCTCCCATTCTCCACTAATACACATCACGTGCCATTGTTGCCCAGATGGTTCTAAATTACTTTGTGGTGCTTGCTTGTTCCTAAGGGTGGGACGTAGGTTCTTTCCAGCTGAGGATCTGTATGACCAAATGTGTTTCAAATGGGTGTGGGGTGCTAGAGCTATTCCCAGAGGGCCTATTAGCCACTCCTGGCTCAGCCAGCTTGGTCCATCTCCATTTCACACCCAAAGCCCAGCCGGTGGCACCAGGACTGAGACTTCCTGTGGACACCAACAGGAAGACCAGCAACTCCACCTTACCAGCCATTTTCATCTTTGCCAGTCCCTCTAGTCTGAGTTAGGCTGCCTGGGGCCACCGTACAAGGTTAATCTCTACAGAGCTTTTGCTTCTTGGTTATACTTTATGCATTTTGGTCATCAAACACAAGTAATCCATCTCAGAAGAGAGGCTTGAACTGGATGGCCAACTATAACCTCCAAGGCTTTTAACATTTTCATTTTAAAAGCAAGCACAACACATGAAAAATTAAACCTACCAAGAGGTTATTTGTGGCTTATATGAAAGCATTTTGAGACCTTGGGATGTCATTTTAATCATAGAAGTCACCCCCCCCCATGACATTCTCCATAATTTCCCTCTGCAAAATGAATTATGTTGATTTTGTTTAACTTCAAGATGTTAGCTAAAAGCACTGTGGTTGGCATTTTTTCCTACTTCCCACAAACCTCAGCATATGCCAGTCACCCTAAAAATGGTTCACATGGTTAAAATCAAGCACAACTTTGAATCCCACAGCAAGGGTGAGAGGTCCCTGGCTGTGAAAACAGTGCTTTGGGGAGCAAGTATAAGTCTATGAATGATGCTAATCAAAGAGAAAGATTTGTTCAAGGGAAAAGGCCCACATGACCTATTCCCATGTAGAGTACAATGATGTGGTTAGCAGTTAGAATTTCCCCCAGAATTATCACTTTAGCTACTTCTCTCTGGGATGACCTATCAGTTTGAGAGCAGTTGCCTCTTTTCCCAGAACACCATGCTAAATGCTAAAGCCCTCTGAGAACTCTTCCTAGATGCAATGCAGAAGGCCTTTGCTGGTGATGGCCTCATTTCCCATGTGTGTACAGGTGGTCTGACTGAAGAGTGAAGTGCATGCCAGCAGAGCAGAGAGAAATTGCAGCAATGTTGCTAACACGTGTCATCAGACCTGCGGGAAAACTATTTCTATTCATAATACATCGTGGGAATCATACTATTCTGCTAAACTCAGTTATTAGCATAGCAGCGTGAGCACTCATGTCTCTCATTTCATCCTGCAGGAGGATGTAGTTTCTCAGTTTCTTTTAATGTTCACAAGATTATGGTGTCTAATTTAATAAATTACAGGATTGGAACTGCGATCCTTGGTACCACAGTCACAGAACTGGGGGTCATTTTCTAGATGAAACAAACGGAACAAGTTCTCTTCCAACAAAGAAACTGTACTGTAGAAATTAATTTCCTCCATGAATTTTATATATTGTGTACAAATATAAGGTATGTATATGAATACAAAGAAAATTATCATCATGTAGATATCAGTATTCTCTGTTACTGCACAGAAGTGATTTTCTCATGATGAAATAAAGTTCACACACATACTTTCTCCATAACTTTGGTTTGTTCTATTTGTTTCTCCCTCATTCTAATTCATCCAAACAATGAGACAAGATTTAGAGAGCAAGAAAAAATATAGTGACTAGTTTATTTTTTTAAAAAAATCTTCGATCAATTTGTAATGATAGAGAAAGCCTATAGAATTAAATAATTATATCTTTTTTTTTGTTTTTTAGAAATCAGTGAGAAAAATGCTATTAACAGAGTTTTGATACATTCACTGCACTTATACTTTATTAATCTTGTTTCCTACAGTTCCTGGAAAGGTTTGCTTTAGAGATTTTTTTTTCTTTGATGGTATTGGGGGTGGTGGGGTAGTTTGTTTTGGCTTTAAAAAATATTTCATATTCTTCTTAGAAAAAGTTAACCCCTTTCCAAAGTTCAAAACAAAAAATATCACAGAGTGGTACAATTTCATATGTGATAGCAGGTCTAACTTGCAAGTCTAACATGCATTTAGTCTGAGATTTAAATCACTAATCACTATACTCTCTGAACTGTCACAAAACTTTCTGTTGTTACCTAAAGGTAACTGGGAAGGTCAAATGTCTACATTATTATGAATTATAAGTGTTTTTTTCTCAAAAGCAAATGTATCTATCTATTTATTGGCCCGTGCTTGATAAGTGCCCACTGTGTGCTACGCTGTGGGTGCAGAGTGTTGAACAGAAGTGACCCCTGCTGTCCTGGAGTTTACAGGCTAGAAAGAGAGATAGGCCTTAGAGAAATAAACATGTAAATAGTTGCATACTTAAAATCATGATAAACACTGTGAAACAAGGGGAGAGGAGCAGCAGAAAAATATAATTTTTATAGGAGAATTGGTCAGGAAAATAATGAAAAACAATTTAATTCAGTGGAAATTACAAAGAATGTGTTAAGAGCAAAGAAAAGGAGTGACGTATGGTGGCACGTGCCTGTAGTCCCAGTTACTCAAGAGGCCAAGACAAGAGGATTGCTTGAGCCCAAGGGTTCAAGACCAGTGTGGGCAGCATAGCAAGACCCCATCTCTAGAGAGAGAGAGAGAGAGAGAGAGAGAGAGAAAGGAAAATGTATTATTATATGAGTTCAAGTTTGGTTAGTTCCCTGAAAGCAAAGTTCCTGGGGATATATCTATGACACCCATCAAAAAATGCCAGTCACAGATCTAAACTACCCTGACTTAAGAAATACAACAGTAATCAATTAAGAATTTTAATGAAATCTTAAAATAAGACCCCAAAACTTGGTTCTGTATATCTTTAATTCATTTAATAGCTGTGCCACAGTCTTTGAACTATCTGCAAAAGATTATCTGTTGAAAACATCCCGTAACAAGGCCTTCTTAATACATGGAGTTCTGAGGCTCATGCTGTGTGTATGAGACACACTATAGATAGTCAAGTAAAAAAAAAAAAAATTAGACTAGGCTGAGAACAAGATAGGGAATGTTCTGTTTATTTTTCTCTAGTTTCCCTCTTCCTATCTATACAGACTGTGCTTTTTTTTTTTTTAATCTGGAAAGAACATGAAATATAGCAAAGGTAATATTCCTGGGTTTCAAATAACATACTGAGACTATTAACAGGCTGAAAAAGAAGGTCCTTTGACTGCCCTCAGCCTTGTCAGAGCGAAACTTGCCTCAGGCAGACTTCTCAGCAGGGATGGAGCTACTGCTCACCATCCCTCAGGGGAATCAGAACATGGAGGGTTGCAACCTCTACATAAAAAACACTCTATAACACAAATCTTTATGCAAAAAGATTCTTTTCCTTGCACAGATTCTTAGAAGTGAAATTACTGGACCAAAGAGGATGAACCTATTTAAGGCCCTTGCTCTGTGTTTCCAAATTGCTTTCCAAATAGATCTTTACACCAGGAATGTATGAACCACTCCAATTTATTATATAACCTTAATTCTTCTTTCTTGAATTTAATTTCAACTAAAGAGCAGCCTTTTCTAAAAACAAAAATATTTCTAAAAACAGTTTTTAAATTTATATTTTCATAGAAGTAATATTCTGATTGTTTTACAACTAATAACTACATGCAGTAAGTTACAACGTATTGCAGGGAAAATGAACATGATGTAAACGTGGGGCCGTGGGGAGTGAGGTGTGGGGAGACTTCCCAGAGAAGGGAAAGAACTCGAGATCCAGACATGGAATGACTGTATGCAAGGCAAAAACTTCAGAAATCTGCCTTGAGCTGACCTTGGACAGGAAAACTTAATCATTCAGAACATTAATTGAGCACCTCAAGTATGTCAGGTACTGGGCTGGGCACAACCCCTGTCCTAGAACTTATAGGCTGCACTCCTCCTTCTAAACTGCATGGCACCTTTCTCAGATCACCTAAAAGCTATAGTACCACCTCACCTCTCTAGAACTAAGATATCCCACCTGCAATCTACATTACCATCTTAAAACCAGGAAGTAAGCACAATGACCTCTGATTGGCAAGAAAACACACACACACACACACAATGTCCATGTGTAGAAGCTCCTGTACTGTCCTCACAGCAGAACCAGCTCTCATTGAGTTCTCATTTACTCTTAGTTTACAATTGACTGAGCTCACTGACCCTTTTGCTAAGACCACAGTAGACTAAAAGCATCACATCAGAAGAGAGAAGAGAGGAATTGTTATAGAAGTGAGTTGAGGCTGTTGGCAGCATTCAACAAGGAAGGTAACAGGAAAAACTAAGAAAAGACCTCCCCCCCAAAATTCATGGCAAATGTTCTGATTAAGAAAGTCAGAAAGCTTGGAGATGAAAGCTGCAAATTAAAACGAAAAAAAAGAATGTCAGAAAGTATATAATACATTTTAGAAAAATTTCCCTCTAAAACATTTTAAAAGTCAGTATATTCTCAGGAATCCTTGGAATTCCTCTGGGTAATTGGGTATGTCTCAGAGGGTTTTATGAAATAAGTCAAATACCTAGTGTAATATTTCTCACATATATGTAATATAAATCCTACTTCACTTGTGTCAAGCTGCTGAGAACTTTCTTCATTGTTCATCAAAAGATTCT